AACAGCAACAACAAAACTTCAGTCTGGAATTAGATGTCTCCAGTATCCAACGGAATAAAAGAACCTTAATTTAGCCTAATATTATTTCCTGTTACGGGTGGTGGCTCTCCACGATTCTAAGTATTTTCCATCACCTATTAGCCCAATCTTTTATCCTCATTGTAAATGAGGTTGCCAAATACAGTGGTACCTCGGTTCACGAATGCTTCTGTTCACGACCAATTCGGTTCGCGACCAGAGTCGCGGAACGAATTAAGTTCGTGAACCGAGGTACCACTGTACCTTTTACATCAAAACGAAAACTTACAGTGCCAGAAACCCTTCAAAAGTTACCAATTTTTTGTAATTGTTAATGTGTTACAGGGAAATTATTATTAAATACTTGTCAGGAGATCATATTAAATGAATTTGTTCATTTTGAAGTTAAATTTAAATGTTGTTTGCCCAAACATCCTGAGTATATATCAGTTACACTGCATGTATCTCAGAGTTGGTGGTATGCAGGGCAACAATATGCTGACTTGCAAGATAGCCTCTAGATTAGAGACATCATTTACACAGAACAGTGTGAGCATGCTTGGGTAAAACTAAGTTTTGAAATACTGTCCAAAATGTACCAAACCTTACTGGTATTCTCCTTAAAGGAGTGCTGAATCTGGCATGGATGCTAAGGCTAGTAACCAGTCTGCACCTTACCTGTCTTAAACTCCTTGTCCATTCATCATGGCTTTGGTCAGCCCAAACTTTCACATAATGTCATGATGAATGTGAGGAGGTCAATATCAGTGTGTCCATCTAGTGATGAATGATCAGTGTATGGAAGATTTTGACTTCAAATAGAAGAGGAATAAATGGCAAACAGTATGAATTAATGAATGAAATGAAAGAGAAAACTAGAAACTTTGTGCATGTGTGAAACTGAAAGAAAAGGGAAGAATGTAATAGATCTGAATGAAGGGGTCTGATCTTGTGGAGTAGAGCTGATGGTTACAAGCAGTAAAGGTATAGGTTTAATCAAGAATGAAAGACCTAAAATACATTTCAGAAACTATGAATATATTCTGGGTTGTTATAGTGTGTATGAAAGTAAGAATTTTAGGAAGGCCTTGAAGACATGGCTGTACCACTGTGCTTAGGGGTCTGGTGGTAGTGGAGAGCCTCTCCAATGGTTATACTGAATTGGATGTACCAATTGTTTTTACTTGCTGTGTTTTGTGTTTAATTGGGTTTTTAATAGCAGTTTTAGTATGGTTGTATGTCTGTTGCTCGTATTTATATATTTTTTATTGTTCTTGCTGTTGTTTTTAATTGTTGTGAGCTGCCCAGAGTCACATATGACAATACAAATAGAATGAACAAACAAATAAAAATCCATAGCTTGGCGACAGATGCACAATACACTTAAGTGACTGATAATGATGAAAGAACCAGAGCTGAGTTTTGGGATAAAAGGTGCAACATTTTGAATAAATGCAATCAATGGGAAACTCTGTGTAATATTTACTTAAGATGGAAAAATGGATAGATACATTAGGGTCAAGAATGAACAGAGGCTAGACAAATATGAACGGAATACAAAGGTAAGTAATCAGTATGAAAGAAAAATGTAGAGGTGGTTGGATCATATGGATGTGTACTTAGTAGAAGTGTGCTTCACCAACAAACTACAATCCATCCCACCTATAGTGCAGATAGAACCTTCTACGAGCAAAAATGTGAACTGAACTCTTCCCCCTTCTCCTCCACATACTTCCTGGATATTTGGACTATCAAAAGTTCTCACTACCCTAAGAAGAAATCCCAACAGATGCAAATAAAATGTTCAACACTGGAAGAAAGCAAAATAATGGAAGCAAATGAATGCAAGAGTAATATCAGATGGGACATTCTATGTGTATTGCAAATGGAGCCTCTGACTAATCTCAGCCAAACTACAATACCCCTTATACAGATTGATATAATGATACATAGCAGGAAAAAATCAAACATAATCTGTTATTTTTTAAAAATATATATCCTGAAGATCATTAACACTGTTACACTTCCCATGAAATATTATCTGAATCGATTTTGCTTGTGGTAAATTTATTTCCAATACAAGTCTTAGTAATTACAACTATTATAATGGCACTGTAATCTTGCTTGATTCTCAACTATACTCATACAACAGGAATCCATCATTATTGCTTGGCAAATGTACAGCTTGGAGAGAAATCCTTCAAACATGGCTACATATAAAGTAGGATGCTTTATGCGGAGACGAGCTGGATCAAATTTCAGACTCATAAACCATCAGCCAGTATAGGAAGCCTATACCCTGTTTCCAACATGCCTCCTATTTCCTTTTTGATTTCTCTGGGTAAGAAATAGCAGAAGCTTCAGATGCAAAAGTCACTTGACAAGTCATTGTAACCAATGGGAATCTTCTACTGCCTGCCTCCAACCACCCAAAATAGTTTGGGTTTAGAGAATGGGAATTCAGATATCTAAACCAGACAGTCTGATCTTTTAGTTAAACTCTGAAAATATTCTTCATTTTTTAATGTCTGATCAGACCTCTATAATTTCAGGCAAGTAAAAGAAGCAACTTTCAGGAACTTCTGATTTCTCTCAAACAACTCATTATGAGAGGCTACTTCATTTTCCTTCTTTACCGCCAGACAATGTGCTCCAAAACAGCATCCAGCCTATCCTCGATCTCTTAGCCTGCCATAAGTTCATCATGAATCCAAAGGATCCACCCTCTCTTAGCCTAAGTCTTACCCAACTGCCAAGCCCAGCCTGAAGTTTCTAACAGCATTCTAGCTCTTGTTCTTTCTCTCATCACCTCCAGCAAGGCCTCTCTTGTTCTGACAGCAGTTGAGAAACAGGCAATTAACTCTCCGCTTGGGGTGATGTATTTCATTGAGACTATACTTAGTCCATGTGCTCAATCAGCTCAAAAACTGTGTTTCTCTTGGTTTCATCAACAGCTGAGACATAACATGTTGATACCATGTGTAAGGTTTTCAAACACTTTTACCTTAATTTCAGTAGCTGGTGCTGGAAACTTGCTGGCACGAGGAAAAAGCAACAAGGTTAAAGTGATGATCACAGCAGCAAAGAAAACCAGAATGACTGAAAACCTAGAGAAATAGAAAGTTAATGCAAAAATACCACAAGATCTGAATACCAGCATTACTTATTTGGTATATAACCTACATTAGTTATTGCTCATAAGCTAGAAATTAGATATATGTCTTTACATCTTTTGATGAAGAAGGAAAGAAGGTAAACTCTGGGGTTCCCATCTTTTCCTCTACCAGCCATGTCATAACATCTTCTGTGAACCATCAGGTCCAGGAAGGGAAAAGGAAGAAGCCATGGAAAGTGCTTGGCATCAGGTTATAAGCTGATAACTTCACACATAATGTATACATTTACAAATATATCCATTATACTTCTAATCAGCCCAGTTACTGAAATTCTCCAAATGAATTGCAGTATCACTATTTTCAACTATTTACTAGCAAATTAAAGGCCTAGTCATATCACAAAGATTTTAAAGATTACAACCTAATGGTAAAATTTACAGGAACAAGTGCTATTACACCTATGAAGATGCTCTGAATTGATTTGGGGCGAATCTGTCTCCACTGCAAAGAATATTAACACAGAAACAGCAAGGTTGTAAAAAAAAAATTGTTTTTAGAAATCCATTTGATACCATTTCACTTTTAAAAAAGAAATTCCAAACAGTTGTCTAATAATTTATGCCATGCCATGAGAAGCTAGAAAATGAATTTACATGTGTTGTTATATTAAGTACAAGATATCTGATTGTCAATTTTCATTTCATGTAACTTTTTAGAGTACCTTTTAACAATATTCTCTCCTGCAAAATCATATAGTCACACAAGCACAGTATTTTTGAAAACAAAGTGCAAAACATTTCACAAAAATTTCTTATGCTTTCATCCAATCTTAACAAACAATCTTAACATGATGCATATTAAACTTCTGGTTAAAAAAAAGGAACGCCATGGTTCTTTCAAGTTTAGTAGTCACCTTCAGGGATTATGAGAAGTGGTTAATTCAGCCACTTCCTAACATTGTACATTATGAGATACTTCCAGCAACCATAAGCAGCTCTAGTTTGGCTTTCTGTTACTATAGTGCTAAATATGAATAGACAATATGAGAATGCTCCATTCGCTTGAGAAGAAAAGGTATTACTGAACAACCACTTATTACAGGCTCTAATATTCTCATTGGAATAGCCTCTCCAGATATTCAGAGAACAGTTCACTAGCAAGTCAGAATGAAGGAAAAAAAACAGAAAGTGGAAGATGCTATATAGCTACAGCACGGAGTGAAGATGTTTGAAATTGTGTAAAAGCTTTCCTACTTCAAAGAAAGCTTTAAATGTGACACTAATACAAAAAAACAATGCCAGACATGATTAAGAAAACTCACAGAGGACAACATGAGCATTAATGAGAAACAGCAGGTGCCTGAGAGAGCAAGAGAGGAATGATTCTGTTGAAAGGACTAAATCACCTTTGTACACATGTCAGCAGGCCAATTGTCAGCATGGTCAAGTGGGAGCATTCCACTGGACCAGGGACATGCAATGGTAGTCAGGCAGGCTATGTAAAATCTCCTTGTTAGGGCCAGACTGCTGTACGCTGCAGCACTTTGCTGCAGCCAACTCAAGAGTACAGAATTATGCTCAGCAGTGGAAAGAAATAGAACTTGGTGAATGAGCAGGAGAAGAAATGCTAGGGAAGCTTCCTGGAGACTGGATCATGCTTTGCTTATCTAAGAGCTATTGCCCTGACAGGTAAACATACTCAAGGATAAACATTTGGAAACTGACATAGCTAACACCCCAGAGAGTTTAATGATCTAATAAAAAAATAACCTCACTGCTGCTCCGGTTACCAGCGTTCATCACCATGAAAAGTCTCTCTTTGTTAACATTTATCTCCTTTTTATTAGGTAAGTGGTAGGATAATTCAGGATAAGAATCTGCAGCAGAAGGTCACCAAGCATCTGCATAAAAATCTCCTCTGGGGTAGGACTGCTTTCTTAAGGTTTGCCTAAAATCCACATAAGGAGTAACTTCCCCTCCATTTATTTTGCCAGTAGTAGAGATCTTACCTAGCGAGTCCAGAAGCTCTGGATAACAACATGCACAGCAGTAAAGCCAAGACCCATACCAGAGCCAAAATGAATACTCCAGGCCCAACTCCAAGTATTGTACCAGTCATCCTTTTATCTGAAAGGTCAAGAAAAGGCAAAGGAAGCTTCTGTAAACCTCTGTTATTATTATTTAATATATTTAAGTTACTTGCTATGAAAATACCTCAAAGACATTTACAAAATATAAAAATACACATAAAAAATAGTAAATAATATACATACACTCACTCTCTAAAAAGGAGGAGGAGAGGAAAACAAAGGGAAACCCAACCCCTCCTCCCCCTTTTATCTGATACTTGTGATACATTTGATATAGAAAAGGTCTAGTAGAGAGATAATACCATCTCTCCCTTTCAGATCTGGGATACAAAGTCTGCAAAGCCAGGATTCTTCAGTAAGATACAGTGGCTATGATTTGGTACTTTAGGGATATTCAACAAAAATTATGAGAAACTTAATTTAGGAAATCTCGGCTATACATAGGATAACACCCTCTGCTTGGATGTCCTTAAACAATAATTAGCTCAATTCATACAAGAGGAGAGGCCAGTCAATTCTTCTATGAGAAAAGAACCTCCATGATCAGGGGCAGAACGCTAGGGAGGGGGATAAGAGCAATGAAGGAAGATGGTTGCATTTATGTTCTTTTTACTGGGCATCATAGATACATTTGTCTCACCACTACATTATAAGAGTGTGCTGGGCAAGAATAGACTTTTGACTGAATCCAGCTGGATTCTTACATTTTTCTCAGTCCCAAATTTATAATAAAGGAATAATTCAGACCTACCTATTAACAGTCTTGCCACTTCTTTTTCATCTGCATCAGGACCCCTCTGCTTTCAAAGGTGCATGGCAACCTTGGAGGGAAATAAAGATGCCACTCTTTCTGGTTGCTTCATTTACTTATGTGCTGTGCTACTATTCCCAGGCCTGTAAAATAGGTTATAAGTTTTCCCAGGCCTGTAAAATAGGTTAATTAGAAAGTGTTAGTAACACCAAGGTGGAAAGGGTGGGACAAAAAGGTGAAGCAAAACTATCAGATCTGAGCTTGAAAAATCCAAAAAGAATTAGATGGCAGCAAAGAGCACATGGTCCAGTCATGTGGATTTTTGCAGCCCAGATCTGATAGTCCTGGGGAAAGAGAAGCTCAGTACCTGTATTCTCACAACACCTTTGTCCACTGTTAACTTATGCATGGTTATCAAATGAATTTTCTGAATTTGTACAGCACACTATCATAAGACTAAACAACAGCTGGATTCACCCAGCATGTTGTGCTAAAAGGTAGCAGGCTAACTTGGTGTATCCAACTCTGCATGTTTTAAATCAGCGCTCCCCAATCTGCCCAAAAGGCATTCAGTAATTTAGGGTACTGAAACGTTAAGTCTTTCAAACTTAACCCTAAGTGATAAATGTAATGCAGAAATCCTTGTCAGCACATAAATAATATATAATTTTATGTATTTATATATATGCATGTATATCTTAACAAGAGACATTTTTGTTTCTCCCACATTCCTTAACAAACTGATGGACAGGACTCTAGATGGAAAAAGCTGAGAACCGTTTCAGACTACAACTCCCATAAGTCCCAGCCAGCGTTCAAGAATTAAGGGACTTGTTGCCTAAAATATTTGTAGGGCACCTCGTTGCCTCTTCCTGCTTTTAATCATGGCACGAAAGGGAAAATGCTTCAGTTCTCCCTCTCTTCCCCACCCCAAACCAGTCAAAGTGGCCTTCACAGTACAAACAGGATTAAAAGACAAGGTTAAGGGAATAATTACTGCACTTCTAACAGGGAGATGCTATCATGGTCAAAGTTTCCCCGGTGGAATTCCTGCCTGCTCTAAGGCAGACTAAAAACATTTTTACTAAGGATTGAGCCAGGAGACAGAAATAACAACAAAAACAACAACAATAATGAGAGAAGGCCCTCCACGCGTTGCCCGACCTACCCCCAATCTCCTTTCCCTCCGAAAGCGTGCAATGCTTAACCAATCCCGGCAAAGCTTTGAAAGAGATATCTCCGGGGAGAGCCAATAAGCACTAGTCTTGCTTTTTCACTCTTGGATCGGATTGGCGGTCGCTCGGGGCAACCCGAAGCCTCGCTGAGAGACAGACAGAGAGAGCGCGAGCGCGCCTCCTCGTCGCGAATATGCCTGCGGATTGGTTCAGAGGAGGCACCTCGGCACCAATCGCATTTGCCCGTTCGGCGTGTCGTCATCGTCCCTTCTTCCCCTATAACTGAGAGTCTGGGAGTCTGAGTTTTTGGGATTGTGTGCTGGGGAATCTTTGCAGGATTTCTACTGTGGGGCAACGTGAAAGGGTCCCCCCACCCGCTTTTTCTCTCTCTCTAATCAGAAAACTTACTTTATAAACTTGTGCCCTTCCCTGCCCAGTAGGTTGTCCACCGAGTTAAAGAAGCAGAACAAGCACAATTTAATGGCACTGAAATAGGTGCAGTTTTTAACGTGCTGATTGTTAAGCACTAAGGATTAGCTAAAAAAAAAAATTTTTTTTTAAAAAAAGCACCAACCCTATAGCAAGTCAAACTGAAGCACCTGCAGGAACAGACTGCAGGAACAGTTATCTTCTTTCCAGTTGGTGTAGAAATTATCCGTATAGTATTTCAGGTTAAGAAACTATAATAACATCAGCAACATGTTAGCACCTAACCAAACTTGGCTTATCTTGGAAAACAGTCTCTCTTTTGGGCTTTGTTAAATACTTCTGCTAATTGGGATCATCCTTCAGTTATTATTTTTTTCATCCCACTTTGCTAAGAACTTGTGTGTGTGTGTTAAAAATGTTATAAGAGGAAAACATCTCACGCTTGTGTTTGCTTAGTTTCAACATTAGGGGAACATCTAAAATAGAAGCACTTGTAATATCAATCTGAGAAATTTGCCATCTGTCCTTTCTTTTCCCACTTGCGATTTGTGTAAGGAATTGCTATCCTTCTGGTTTGTTTTAAACCTCATCAGAAGGCATTTAAATCATACATGATCGTGGGGGTTGCTTGTACTCTGCATGATATACCACCCCCAGCTAAAAAAAAAAAAAGGAAAGAATTAACGTTCTCCTTCAATTTTTCTGTCACTTGTCACTAATATGGGAAATATGTGCTACCTTTTGGAGCAAAGGGGAACAACAGTGGGAGAACAATTTGGGGCTTCTTATAGGAGCTGGGGAGTAGCCATTTGGGATATAGGATGCTGGACTAAATAGACCTTGGATATGATCCAGTTGAATGCCACAGCCTGAATCAATGACGGCATCGAGATGGAAGGCATGGAACATGGATAGTTGAATCCATGTATTAGGAGTTGCAATCCAAGCTATGATGGGCCAAGAGATGAGCAAAAGAAAAACATTGATTTATTTCATATAGAAAAAACCAGAATGTAGTAATAATCTATTAGTTTATGCCTTGATTTCTAAACTGCCCACTAAATACCCTTTGATCCCTGGGCAGGTAAAACTCTATTAAGAAAATACAATAAATCAGCAGCATTGTACAGATAAAAGCAATAATAATTATGACAACAAATCAACAGATGGAAATTGCAATAAAGCCAACATGATAATAAATAAATAAAGCCAATAAAACAAATGAACTGCTCTTGGGAGGGCATTCAGAATTCAGGGTGCCAATGCTGAAGAGACTCTTTATTCTACATTCATTCATTTTCTTAGGGTGCTTGGGAAAGGTCCTCAGATGAACATCTTTGAATTTGTGTAGGAGTAATATAGGAGGAAATTCTTCAGATAATCTGACCTAAAATCTGATTTGATTTTTAATGGATTATTTATTTAACTATTTAGGGGGGGATTTTTAATTGTTGATGGGGTTTCTGATTTTAATTGTGAGCCACCCAGAGTCACCCGTTGGGGGGAGACGGGCAGCCTACAAATTTAATAATAAATAAATAAATAAATCCGTTTAGCGCTTTCTCAGTAATACCGAGATGTACGGTAAAACTGGGGAACCCCTTTTCACGCCCCAAACTGTTAAAGAAACGCATTTCTTCTTTCACCCAAATTACAGTAAAGAACACAGAGAAGGAAAAGAATCTGAGAAATGTGTAAAAGTGCTTCAGCAATGAAGTGGAACTCATTACACATTCCAGATTAGCAACTTCCTTCCTGAGTGATCACTTAAGAGTGAAAACATTCCACAGATAAACTTTCCCATTAATGCGGCTTTCCTCTTGATTTGACTGCCAAAATTATTGGAACGTAAGCTGATAGATCTTCATCTCATATTTAGGGGGTGGGGCTGTAGTTCAGGGCTAGACCATGTTCTTTATACTGTATGCAGACACTCACAAGTTCAGCCCTCACCATTTCTGACTTTAAAAAACTCAAGCAGCAGATGACTGGAATGACCTCTGAAGAACCAACTGGTTGAAATTAAGCAGCAATGAGCTAGGAAGGAAACAGCCTGGTCCAGCATATAGCAACCTCTTGGTGCCTTCATTAAATTGCAAAAGAAATACTTAGTTTATTGTATCTAATTTTTCCCCCTTCTTCGTGGTCATATTTATATGGTTACATTCTTGGTGTCAACACTTAAAAAGTAAGTATGTACAGTATCTTTCTAGCATAATGTCAATGAAAAGAATACGTACTGGACCCTGGGCATAAAAAATGCATTCCCCATACTTAAAACTTGCCTGTGGCTGAAAAGCTATGGCACCAAGGGAGGGAAAATACTGGGAAGAGGAGGAGGAATACATGCAAGCAAAATTAATAATGATGATGAGACCCCGATCATTAAGGGGAGTTGCATTAAATGTCTCTAAACGACTAAACAACAACAAAAAGAGAGATTCTGCACTGAAAATTGGCCCTCAACAATTCCACTGCAATAGAAAATCTGTGTAAGAGTCTCACATTTTATTAGTTTCTTTGCAGCACAGACAGCTTGTGTAAATGTATTTGAACTCCAGGATCCAGGCTGAGTTGCAGTTTTATTTCTCTTAAGTCTGAAATTGTTTCATTTGATGACGAAGGACCGTTTGAATTTGTTTGTTTTTCCAACATGGCATGAAACTCTCCGGGGCCTCTTTGATGTGTTTGGAAGCTGACTTATGTTTTGCTTTATGGATCATGTTGGGCCATGGCGTGTTGCATTCACCACAACAAGCTAGGCTTATGATTTAGTGCTTTGTGTGAACCTAACCACTGTACTTGGTTGGAGAGGAATGGCTTAGTGTGAGGTGTGAAGCTAGCCATTTATAATTCATTCAACGAGCTATAGTAAAATAAAACACACCTTAGTTCAAAATTGTAGCCAATTCAACTGGGACATGGGACTTGTTTGACTTTTGCTGCTTCTCTTGCTGCAAGTCGAATTTGTATCTAGCATGCACACATACAGCCCCTATTCTGACAAGACCTCATCGTTGGGCTGAGACTACTAAATGGGATAGAGGAGCAGGATACTGTATATGCAGTGATGATGATGACGATGGTGATGATAATCTACCATTCTTTCTTTGACAGAATCATACCCATTCTGTTCCCATCAAGTTGCTTCCTCGTGTGCCTTCCGACCATCCCCTGAATTTGGTGTTACCGGTAGTCCTTGTTTAGTGACCACAGTTGGGACTGGCAACTTGGTCATTAAGGGAAGCAGTCAGTAAGCGAAACCATGACTGTGCTTGTGATCTTACTTCAACTTTCCTTTGCTTTACAAACCTGCGAAGGTCGTAAATGTGAAGATTGGTCACAAAGTTACTTCTCCATCACCATCGTAACTGCGAATGGTTGCTAAACAAGGCAGTCACTAAATGAGGACTACCTGTAGTGCAGTGGAGTGAAGTAGACTCCTTCCAGATCTGTGTAATTCACTTAATTTAAAACTGCCAAATATCCATTTAACTATGAACAATTTATACTCCCGGCTGGGTGGATCTGCCAGTACTTCATAAGAAATGCCCTGAGGGACTGACTGCCTCATAAATGCTAATATTAAGACAGCTTCGAGAATAAGTCTTTACTTTGTAAAAATGAAAGATTATTTTGACCTTTTTTTAAATTTACACAGGCAATGAATTTCTCTGTTGGATATATAGTTCTTTTAATTTAAATATCTATTCCCCAAAATGGAGAATGTCAGGTTTCTGAGTATCAGATCTGGAGTTTTACTGCAGTTCTCTGAAGCCCCGCTCCAACTCTGTATCATCATCTCTCACTAAAATAAGAACCTGGTTGTAACAATTGAATGAGCGACTAAGCTCCCAACTCTTCCCACAAATTGTTCCAGCTAATCCATACAGAAATTTGCTTCAGTGTTAGTCTTGTTCAGGTTATAGGCTTGCATATAGAACTGAATAGATGAGCAGTAATGAGCCATCCCTAAACTCCCCAAACTGTATTGTGACAACAGTTGCAGAGAGTAAGGAAGGTGACCTTGACCGAGATGCAAGCTCCATTACAAGCGATGAGGACTGAAACATATCTTAAGTCCATAACAGACAGAAAATATTCAGAAAAGACTCAGACATACATCTCACTAATTCACAGGAGTATAAGAAGGGGGAGGAGGTCCAGCACAGTCAGACTTACCAAATTCTGTTATTATAACCAATCTCAGTAAAAGTAGTTTTAGCCTTTCTGTGGAATTGATTTCTTGGTCTGGTCTTTCTAGTGGGGCTGACAATAGTACACAGAGAGCCATCCATGGTTGTAGTGTGATTATCCACAGTATGGAGACTTTGCAACCATGCAGTGGTTTTCATATTACCCTGATATAAGTAAAGTCTCCTCTACAATCAAGCTGTGTTCATGGAGAACCAGCTTCTCAGTGGTATCGCCTAGTCAGTGACATCCAACTTACAGTGATGTTTGATTCAGAAAAGGTCTGCTCACCACTCCCATAGAGCTCTACATAGAAAGATATCAGCTGGATAAAGCTATTGATACATAGATAGTTGTTAAAAGTTATTTGTATGTTTCATTTTTACTTAAAGTGAGAAAACTAGGAAC